ACACTTTTCTCACGATATTCAATAATAAGTAACACACATCCCATACTATCTCATAATAATAATAACCTCTTGATAATAATTCTCTCATCTCATCAGTATGAGACATATAAACTATGAAGAAAAACCACTTTGGTCGTAGACTTTCCAGAGACAAAGTTCTTACTTCAAAGGTGCATTAAAGCCCGTTTTCACAGTTTCCTAAGATCTGTGAGCGTGTGTTGGTATTTTTGCAGAAACACTTGTACTGATCCTGTTGAGCGGAGTGAAGTTTGGAGTAAAGACACAATAATTGAAAGATAGGTGCGTTCACTGACCTGTTCTCCTGCTCCAGGTCATTGAGGACCCTTTCCAGCTCTCCCTTCTCCTCTGTTTCCATGGAGATGAGGATCTGGGCGGGGCTGCGGGGCTGGCTGAGAGGAGAGCCTTGGTTCAGAGAGTGGCAGTAGTGCTGGATCAACATGTGCTCGTCATCGCTGCAGACACACACACCAAACATACCCATCAATGACGGGCAGATACATACACACATTCACATAGTCAAAGACACACACACGTGCATGATTGCACCCACACACAAACACAAAGAAAGATGGAGAAAAAGAAAGTGAGTGACGCAGCAGGAGTGGAACAGGACTGCACCACAGAAGAAGAGTCTTACACGGCGGGGACAGAGAGAGGGCCAGGGCCTGTCGTCGTTAGGTCCTGAACATTATGGAGCGATTCATTCGGCCACGCTCTGCCAACTCTGAGCGATGGTACATGCGGCCCATGGTGTTTTTGGAGGACTTTAATTAGGCCAGCTATTTAGATGCTGCTGCGTACACTGCGCGCTTTCAGCTCAGCCAATCTGCCATATTGAATACTTAAGGAGCCGCAGATACGTGCTGTTTGAAAACAACTAATTCCCTTCACGACGGCTGCTGACATGAAAGTAGAACTCATTATGAGAAAAGTGTGCAGCTCTCTCGGCTCTGGTGTCGAGATGCTTCCTGCTTGTCGTTTGTGCTTCATCAGCCAAGCTGCATTTTGCAAGTTATGCTGTTTTGTTACGTTACTCATTTTCTTAACCTTTTACTATTTAATTACAGGTTAATCTACATATAGTACCACATATGTATATTATTAAAGTGTAAGAAAATATAGATGTGGGTATTTATCAGGCAGGATAAACTAAGCTTTTCATCATATTATTATGAGTTAAAATTGTGAAATAACATTTATTACATTTTCTATATTGCAGACGTGGTGAACTGTAAGTGAAACACAACAAACATAAACTGATGATGGACTGGCAGCAAAAAATGTGGATAAATAACTGCCTGAATATTAATATATAATAAATAGTAATATATGAATGCCATTCAAAAACTCTGGTCATGAAGATTTAAGTCAGCAGCTCGTTCTGAATACTACACATTTAACAATGGAAATGGAGAAGTAGAGAACAGTTTTCATAAATGCACGATATTAAATTTGGTTCATATGATTTACAGATCTGTGTCCGGCTTTAAAAGCAGAACCGCTGCCAATTTGTGGTGTTTATCTGTTCCCCTCTCTGTGCCGTGCAAAAGGACTCCAGTCAATACAATATTCTAAGTAGACGGCATCAGACACATCATAGTAATGAGTTGAAACAGAAAAAGAACAAGAAGAATGTACCTACTGTACATATTTACAGCAATACTCTCATTACTTGGACAGCTCGGTGTAATTGAGCTACATGATCATTATATGTCCCACTTATAACCACTTATCCCTGAGGACAGTGTGAAAACAAAAAGACATATGTACTGAAATCACCGGGTGATATCAGGTAGATTCAGGGATGTGCAGTGATTCACAGCATATTCAGACTCTGTTAGTTTTTGCACACTTTATGTTGTGTAGATTTGATCTTAAATGGATAAAGCTGACATTTTGCCCAGCACCCCCTCTATAACCCATTACGACAAAGTGAAAACATGTGTGATGTATGACCAACATAACTGGAGTCCACCTGTGGTGAAGATCCAACAATGCACACTGAATGACCTCTCTGTAGAGCTCCACACTAAAACTTAGGTGATGCATAGACCAGGGCAAAGGTAAAAAACTATTTCTAAAGCTTTGAGTCTTCCCAGGAGCACAGTGGCCCGAATAATTGGGCAAACTGAGGAACTGCACGAAGTCGAGCAAGGACCCAACAGTCACTAAAGCTGCTTTCAGACGTGCACTGAAGTTTGGACACGTGAGAACACAAATGTCTGTCAGTTGCTCTGCGCACAGTCTTTACTGTCAGTCCCCTGGGAAAATGTCTGGAAAATGTTAGAACGTGCTCATGTGGGAAAAACAGCCGAACATTTTTCAGACAAGAAAACGTTTTTAATGTGCAAAAAGTGAAGGGGCCTGAATACTCTCTGAAGTCACTGTATTCATGTGGGATGTGATAATACAATCCAGAATAAAACCAGAGTATGAGCTTCTAGAATAACAAAGAAAACAAAGAAGACAAGAGCCAGTTCATACACAGCGAGCCAATCAGTGAGTGAGGTTGAAAAGACAAAGCAAACAAAAAGCGGTTCTCACATGCTTTCATTGGGTGAGATACTGTCATTCAGATAAGAGCCATTACGATTCTCCATTTCTGCTAACCTGCGGAGGGGGAAGAAACAGAGCAGTCAGTCCCAAACCCAAACGTTCTGTGCAATCAGTAGATTCCACCGGAGCAATCAGTCTCAATTCAGCGTTCAGAGGTTTTTCTGGGTGTTTTCATGGAGTTAACTAAAGTGCAGTTTGACATGAAGACACTCAAATCTCTCAAAACCAGCTTTGGGTTTCCTGGTTCGTGTGATGGCTTGTATACATTCCACCTCTGGGGAAGCTGGTTTTCACAGAGTGGAAGTAGATGATGCTATTTTTCTGAGGAGAGGAAATTGACGCCTGGTGTCTTCAATTACAACAAGTGTGTGCAAAGAGCAGCAGGAACAATTGAGAATTTGGTTGGGCTGTTGGAGTTCCTCTCTGTTTGGCACATGTACTACTACTTTTCCGCTTTATCTTATAGTGATGCACGACAAACCGAGCAAGTTGGCTTATATCACCGAAATAGAAGTGGCAACTGGCAGACCTTTATCATACAACTGGTAATTGATTCATAACAGTCACTTTCCTTCTGCCTTTGTAACAACCTTGATTTAAAGTACTCAATGGCTGACCTCTGGATGCATACTATTTTGTAAATAATGTGGTACAAGTCTAAAATATGACGTATGCCAAAAACTGCATTAGCAAAGAAGAGCAAAGTGTCAAGCCAGGGAAAGTTTGAATGGAAAGACACTGGTAGGACTTGGATAATATTTTAAAGTAGTACTGAAGTAATTTGAAGGAGTAATTCATAAAGAACCTTCTACATAAACTTCCTGGCAGCGCTTCTCCGACCGATCTATCAAGATAAAATGCGTGCAAGCAAAAATAATTGATAATAATAATAATTTAAATTGCCATGTCGGTATCTCCACTACAACACTCTCCTGGTGGTTTAAGTGTCTACATGAAGAGTAAAGAGATTTTGGGTCTTTATCAGCTCGAATAAAATAAAAATGCTCTGTGCTTTGCTTCAGGCATTTGAGCAGATGGACTGTGACAGACTGGCATCTGCCCAGGCGGCTGCGTTCCTACTCAGAAGCTTCTGCATGCTACAGGAACAAGAGATAACCTTGCAGCCTGGGAGCCATCCACCTACTCAAAGCTTAATTATGTTACTTCTTCGCCCTACCACTTTCCCTTTAATCTGCCGGACGGTATCTGGAATCTGCCAGATCGAGACGTGACACAGGCTGAGAGCGCAGGGCCGGAGGCGGGGAGTGTGACTCAGCATGTGTGTCCGTCAGCATGTGTGGGTTGGTATATTTATATGTGTGTGTGTGTTAGCCCGAGGCAACAATGAGTGGTGTCAGACACTCTCTTGCAGGGATCAAACACTCGGCCCGTGGCTCAAACCTCACACTGACTCTGCAGAGGAATGCCAACAGTGCCCGACTGACTGATTCAATGACCGATTGATCAGCGATTTGATGGACTCATTGAGTTATTGATTTGACTGCTTCTTGTCCCTCAGCGGTGGGTTTGTGGACGCAGTTAGGATCACCGCAAACTGGAACTGAAGGAACACTCAGATATTTTGGTGAATAAGCTTTGATTCTGTCAGTGCGGCACCACAGCAACATTGGCGGCTTTTCTCCAGTCCACTATTGATGGATTGAGGTGTTTGAGCACACATGCTGGCACGTTGGAAGGTGCACGCAACATCCCAGAGACATTAGCATATGCATGTATCGGACTCTCACTGCAGAAGGCTTATTCACCAAAAAGTCAACACGTCACTTTATCATAGTGTACAGATTCAGTTTCTACTGTTTGCTGGGGGATATAATTTTAGTTCAGCCTTTAAAACATTCTTCATCTTCATTATCAGCCCACAAAAGAATCATTTTAGCACACTCAGCATTTCAACCAATAGTGCCGCTGTGGTAATTGGTTTTCTTTTATGTGAAACTGCTCTAGGGATAATATGTTTAAGAAAACTTTTACATAAAAATAGAATTGCAATCTCCTGGTGATAAAAATATATATTTATACATATATATTTATACATATATATTTATACATATATATATATATATTTGTTGTCAAGGTACCCCATTCTTCATGTTTAAATAGTCACCAATCGTGCATAAGCATCTTTCAAAGCATTGACATATACAGTCATTAATATTGGATTTTTGGAGTGTTTGAACTAACTCTGATTTCACATTAAACCATGTTCCAACGAGATGAGCAAAAACACTGACTGTATATGACATATGCCTGAGAGGAAGGCTCACATCATCAGTGTTAACATTTAATGAGATTACTCAGCCTAAATCACTGAACATAGTCTCACTGACTTGCGAACAGGAGGAGGACATATTGTCTGCCTGTCACTGGCATATCAAGTTGATTTTAACATCAATCTGTTGTAAATGTCAAACACTTGTGGGCGAGAAGCGCTTATTTCAAGGTAAAAACACAGATAATTAAAGGTCTGTGTTGATCAACTTTCGATTTGTTAAGTGTAATGATCATGAGAATGTTGACTGAAAAGTTCCTCAAAACTTTGTCAGCACAGAATCAGGGCAACCGATCCCCTGGGAGTTAACGGCAGCATGAACACAGTGGGGGGAGCAGACAGGCATCCAAGTGCAGGAAGCTTGTTCTACTATTTTCCCCAAAGTCATTATTCCAAATCACATCAATCAAAATGTTTCTGGTGTCTGGAAGGGCTCTCTGGAGGAGCCATTATCTGTGACGCAGGGCTGGGGACAAACAGCGGGGAAAGCAAAAAGTATAATGTGAGGACGGTTACATCCTCGTGTCCTGTTCGCAACACAGCGAGGAGCTGCTGCTAAAAGCAGAAAGAGTGTTACCGGCTGGCGTAGTGCTCAATCCGAGTGTGCGTGTCGTCATGTGAGAGCTGAGGGGACGATCCGGGCCTGTGAGAGAGAGAAGCAGACAGAAAAGGGAAGGTAGAACTCATGAATGCAACCGGGAGGGACTCATTAATCCCAGTGCACACGCACACAAGCCACATAAATCCACGGGAGAGCCATGAAGGGAGCGACAGTACAAGGCACGAATGTCTGACAGTGTGGAATGCTTTGTAAATAAGCTCCTCGCTTGTACCCTGCACTCTCGGCTTGGAATACATTTGCCTTCACTTCAAAAGAGGCCTCAGATCTAAGATCTCACACCACGTCTGCAAAGGGAAAGACGGGTGCTTTAACATCATTAACCAGGAGACTCTTGAGGAGTCCAACAACTTTCCCTGTTGTGGTTTAGTCCTTGAGAAATGATGATTTGACTCTTTGAAACACTCAAACATGAGTTCTTATTTCAACGTAAAGGTGAAGCGATCTTTTGCATTACAATCTTCATTCTTTGAAGTTCAGCACCGCCTTCATTCTGTTAATTGTTCAGTATTCTCGGTCTAAAAGTGGAGGTGAGGGAGACAGCTCTGTTTTGTGCTGCTGTATCTAAACCACGCAATCAACCCCCCCCCCCAGGACAATTTTCAAATTACACATTTAATGAGTGAATGACAGGAGTAACTTATCCCAAGTCCCAATCGGCTGATGCAAAGCCATGTGTATGCATGTGTGTGTGTGTGTGTGTGTGTGCATGTGCGGGCCAGGTACTCACGCATGGTCTACGGGCCAGAAGTTGATCAGAGTGACAGGACTGCAAGACAAAAAACCGTGAGATGATGACACAGGAAGTGAAAGGACACTGCACCGCAAAGCATGGTGGGATTTGTAGTATGGGGGGGTGGAGTGGTGAGACTATATTGAAGACAGGGTGATTAAACTGATTCTAAGTGCACATGAACCTGCATGGACACACACTCACACACATGAAGCAGACAACAAACAACAACTGTCATTACTGAGAAGGAATTCATTCTTGATCGACGTCTCTGTCTATTCATCAGAAACAAATCACTCTAAATATAACAAAACACGCAGATGATGTGAGGGAACCCAACCTAACGTGTGCATGCACTAACAAGGGGGACTATTTTTCAAGAAGGCAAAGTCAAGAACATTCAACACACTTGTAATATAAAACAGAGTGTATTCACTGAAAGTGTGATGCTTTTACAACAGGGGTTAGTTTCAGTATCCTCTTATTCATAATGCAGAGTAACTGCGTGACAGATGTGCAGATTTCCACATCTGTTCCACAGCACTAAGTACTTGGCTTTGCATAAACAATCTCAGTTAAGTGCCAATACATCCATTATTAATGATTTTCTTTTGGTCTTATTAATGATTTATCTTCAGCCAATAGCGGTATAAAAGGTTGAAATAAATATTCATGACAGACGCAGAGTGAGACATCAGCATGCTCGATATGATCAGCTGATTATAGCTGATCACAGGTATATTTCTAAGTTCATACAGTGTGTCAGCAGTAAGGAGTCTTCAGACAATCTTTAGATTTGTCTGTCCACTTTTAAAGCCAAAAATTTTCTGTTTGCTGACTTTGGTATCCATCCATAATAAAAACTTGGGAACTATTTGCAAAAGCTGCCTGAGTCTGAGCACCCCCCCCAATGACCCCTCTTACCCCTGCTGTAACGACATTTTAAAGGAGGAGTTTGACCTTTAAAGAAATGAGATTATTCCAAGGCTATTGCTGGGACTATTTCTTGGCTCTGAACAGTTGCCAGGCAAACAGGGGAGACTCAGGCCAAGAAATAGTCTTGCCCATAACCCAGTGGTAAAACTGCTTTCAAACTTCAGTATAGATTTAAGTTCCAGTGTGAAGGATTCAGGGGAATCTATCGTCAGAGATGGAGCGTAACATTTAAATTCTCGTGTATCTCGGTTTGTAATAAAACCTGGTTAGTCTTTTCTGTTTGTGTCTGTGTGTGCATGTAAGCAACTCACGTCTCCATGTTGTCTCCCTCCAGGATTGTCTGGACAGGCAGGTAGCCCATGCGTGGGTGTTTCGCAAAGTAGCGCTTGGTCCTGAACTTGTTCTTCAGCACCTTGGCAAAGTCCCTGACATCCTCCCCTGATGTCGTCTGCGGAGAGTCAGGACACAAAGGTGGCTTTGTTCACTCCATGGGAGTGGGGCGCACACACACAAACACACCTTACAGGGAACATTTCAGGCCCTTTTGACTTTATTCACACATCCAGTGAAGTGAACTTAATGCCCTCATTGTCAGATCTGAGTGTGTCATTACATTTACGAGAAAGAGGAAACAGATTTATGTCTCTCAGTCAGTGTTTTTACTTCAGCCCTGCGTCGGGGCTACAGAAATCAAACTTTAACCCTTTCTTTGCAACTTGAAAAAGCTCTTGTCCTCCTGAATTGCCCAGGAATATAATAATAATATTCATACCGGAGTGCAGTACTCGACCATGGGATACTGCATCTTGTGGCCCTTGGCAACGCGACCAGAAAAGAAGCAGCTTTGGCAAATGTCATAGTTGAAATGTTTCAGACTCCGATATCTGGTGAGAGAAAGAGAAAAGAGTAAAGAGAAGAAGAGAAAAGGGGATAGCAAAGGTGGGAGGGGTAAGTGTAAATAAAAGAATAAGGTAGTCGAAGAAAGACAAGAGGCAGAAGAAGACAAAAGAGGGAAATTTATGACTTTGTTTTCCCCAGGGTAGGAGCAGTTAAAATTCTTTCAGCCTGGTACCTAAATGAGAAATTTACTCCTTGGCCCTGAGACTCTATTAAAATTTATCACTGCTCTTGTCATGAAGGGGCCCACCAACAACAGAGGACACACCTCCTTTTACAGGTCCCAACCTTCCGACTCCTGGGCTCCATCAGTACTTTAAGGGGCTGGGGTTACAAATAAGACGACAGTTCTGTCACCGTAATCACATCATCAATCATTCATATGTACCAGTGTGCCGTTTTACCAGCCAGCCACTGCCGCTGAATTAGATTAACGCGATAAATAGGTTTACAAGCTTCTTCACAGCTGGAGCTAGACTGGTGACAGAGAGCAATCTCATTTATCAAATGGTGTAAAGTTAATGTGTTTTTACTTGAATAATGACGCAAAACAAAATGCGTTCCAGTCTTGTAAGTTACACACAAGCTCGCAATGGGCCTCATGCAAGAATATTTATGGTATACCCAAAACTCTGATTTATTTCCTATGTACTGTATTTGACCAAAGATAAATAAAAGATCCTTGTTGTGCAGATGATACCTAATTATATTTACACCTTAAGTACTTTTGCTGCGCTTGTTTGACTCCAATACCTGAATCCTATGATGGGACACTCCTTGCAGATGTTACACTTGGCCTGGTGCTTGGCCGTCTCAGCCGCAGCCACGCGGTGCAGGACGGGTAACCACACCATGGACTGGGGCTCCAGACGCATCCAGTCGAGGAACATGGCTGCCTCTAGCTCTGGTTTGTTGTTGGCCTGAGAAAATGTGACAGGAAACATGGGAAAGAAGTGGATGACTATTTGGGAATATATTCCCATCTCATCTGGTAGAAATGATCTGGAGAAGAAAATATAGACCATCACATGCCTTTTTCCTTTACGTCTTTATTTTTGCTATGTATTAAAATGACACCGCAAAATATATATGTTAAAAAAGAGTTGCAGAGATGGGCAACAAAAACAATACAGACGACATGTTAGCTTCACATACACAACACACTGACTCCGCAGAGGAAGCAGCTGGGATAAAATCTCTCGATAAGTCCACCTGTGTGCTTGTGTGGTCGCTCTATTGACAGTGAATTTATCAGGGTTTATAAAGATTAGTTTTATGCCTCAGTCACTGAAAATGAGAACAAATGCCTCCTGTCGGTGACAGTTTTTGAAATATTAGAGCCAAACACTGATGTCTGGAACCTAATTTATATATTGTATGTACTGTATATTGTGTCGAAGCTGTCCTATTTGTGTAAGATTTTCTTTCTGGCTTGTCAATAAAATATGTCCTTGTCTCCGCAGCTGTAAGAGATGATTTGTCTGATCCCCTACAGTGTTGCTCATTTTATTCTCCTGTCTGACAGGAAAATTCACTCACACACACTCTCAGCTTCTGACCATGTTTACGTGGTACATTTCATCTCCCTTTTGTTTTTCTTATCTTTGTTATTTTACCCATGTTTTGCCATTTATTTCCAGCTTCGCTCTTAGTGACAATCCAGTTCCTTTCTATAAATACACCTGATTAAGCCTGAAGTAAACAAATACTGGGATGCTTGGTGGGGCTGTGGTAATAAGTGGCCTTCATCTGGACGGCCTGAGGCATCAGTGCGAACAAACATCTGTGCAGTATTTGAGAGTGCTGTTACTATTATTAGCGTATACATTTATTATTACTTTGCATGTATCTGTAAAAAGTCCAAGTAGAATGACAACTCAAGAACAAAAAGTTGAAAGTGTTGTGTGAGACTCACAAACTGGAAGCAGCTGCGGACGGAGGGCTCGATGTTAGAGCCGCCGAAGGAGGCGACCTCTCCGAGCTGCCGGGGGATTTGGATGGAGTCGTGGAGGAGGAGGCCCAGGCGACGCTGGTCACAGAAACCGGTCGCACTGGCAACCTGTCTGAACAAGACTGCAGGAGGGAATGATGGGGAGGAGAGGCAGGGAGGCAAAAGGGAATAAGAGCAAAGGGAGATGGAGCAGGACAAAACAGACAGAAGTTGACTAATAGACAAGTTGATTAATCCTTCTGCAATATGAAATGATGCACTTGAACATAATGTAGTTCAACTGAAGGACTTACATCTGTATTTATCTTCCAGGTGAGCCTTGCAGAGTGAGATGATTCCAGTTTTGAATGACAGAGTCCGGATCTTTCCGGTGCGACCACTACCACCAAACAACATGATAGGATATGTTAGATCTCACTGAAATAAAGAGAGATCTTCTGTGTGCCTGCATGTGTTTGTATACGTACGTGTCATAGACATTGAGCAGCCAGTTGAGACACATGTCGACGCACAGCGGGACATTGACAAGGTGTGAGTGGCTCTGCTCCAGCCGCTGGTACAGGCTGGTCAGACAGGTGACCAGCTGGGAAATGTCCAGCAGCTGCTCGTTCTGCTTCAGGCCGTGCTGGTCGAGCACCTCGCACACCACAGGCATGCTCACCAGGTCCACTGCAGACACAAAGGGAGCGGAGGGTGCTTAGTTCTCAAAAATACACACTCACGCCCTGCGGCTGTGCTCAAACTGTCTTGCAACGAGACTGGACACTTAAATGTTCTAAGTGTCCTCACGCTCACATCTGCTCAAGGACAGTAGTGAGGAGGGGACTTCCCTCAAGGGATCCATACAATATCACATTATTCATCTCTGTCGTTCATTAAGTCCAGTAAAGGACAGAAAGAGGAGGGAAGAGCGATGATATTGATGAGAAAAGGCCAAACACACTTCTAATAATCCTGGCGGCTGAAGGCTAATTAATGCCTACAAATGAGCAGATACACGTATTGATCGGATGAAGGCTGCAAACTTGTATTTTGCAAGGGAACATTTAAATTTCTTCTTGTCATAATAAATATACTGCAGTCCAGATTCCTACCTGGAGCTGCAATGTTAAGACGGTTGATATATGTATTTTTTAAGCAAAAATACAAAGCACATATTGAGAGTATTTGATATGTTTACGTGATAAATAAAAAAAATTAAAAAGGGAAGTAACAGGACAGAAAAAATAGAAAAGGGATTGATGGAATGAAGAAATGAAAAGGGACATCAAAGAAATAAATGCCCACCATTGTTAGGAAAACAAAGCAGAAGAGTTTCACCCACTACGCTGGATCGTCAAGGTTAACCACCAAACATGTTCATTTTAATTTTTAGAACAGAGAACACGAATAGTGCTTCTGTACGATATGGCCGGCTATACGCCTTCAAACATATCACACACATAACAGCTCGTAGGCGGTCACACTCTTCACAGATCCACCGGCGAGAGACGAGAGGGATGAGTAAACACACATATGGACACACACAGGGAGCAGTTACAGCGGGGAGGTAAAGACAATAGAAGTAGAGAGATGAAAAATGAAGACGAGGGAAGAGGAAGAAGAGGAGACAATGCAGAAGAAAAACAACATGGCAATAGAGTGAATTGAAAAAGGAAACATGGAGATGGAAAGTAAGGGAAAACAAAGAAGTGTAGGAGGGCTGGCACACAATGAGAGGAGCACTCATAATGAAGAAGTACTTCAAGCAAGGGATGAAAAATCCTATATGACACATACAGCACAATTATATATACACATCATTTACACACAACATGTAGTACACTCGAGTACTAACTGAGAATATATTAAGTCAAAGGAGAATGGCCAGACTGGTTGCAGCCTTCTCTGATGAGTGTGCATTTCTGCTGAGGCTGCAGATGGTCGACTCAGAATCTGGCATCAATAGCTAGAATCCATGGACTCGACCTGCCTTCTGTCAACGGTCCAAGCTGGTGGTGGTGGTGTAACGGGTGGGGAATGTTTTCCTGACACACTTTGCCCCCTGAGAACCAATCAATCATGACTTGAAAGCCAGAGTCTGATGGAAACTTCCAGCAAAACAACGCTCTGTGTCAAAAAGTCCATGCCACAAAGAACCAAGGCTGTTTGAGAGCAAAGGAAGAAACTGCCAAATGTTAGTATGGTGTTCTTAATGAAGTGCTGTCAACGGAGAATACTTACAGCAGAGGGCCTTCTGCAGGCGCCTGAGCTTCATGGCTGTTCTGTAGGCTGAGAATCGAACATTGTTCAAGTCGGCTGAAGGATGGAAACAAGAAGGAAGAACAAAACACAGTTAGAGAAGATGAGGAAGGAGACAGTGGGGTGTCTTACTTTTACCAATTGTCCACGAAAGAGAATATGCATCTTACCCAGAGACTGGTAGAGCTCGGCCATCTTGGGATGGTCCCAGCATGTTGTCTGGGTCTGGTGGCTGGAAGGTGACAGAAGAGACATGAAGGTCAGATGTTGAGTTGATCATTTCAGGGAAACTCAGCATAAACCTTGAAATGATCTTTACTGGTAATTCCAATTGTATGCACACAGTAAGCTGTGTGGGTTATACCTGCAGCAGCCATGTTAGCTACTGATGGTAAAATTATATTCCCTGCAAACTTCCAACAATGTTTAACATGTTATCATCTTAATTTAATTCAATTTGTGAAAATGAATCTGCATTAAACACAAGTTCAGGTGAAGCTGATGGGGCCTGATGATGGAACTCCATCAGAAGCTTTCATCAAAGTTACAACAATTCATCTGGACGGGGAACATGGAGGCGTGAGCCAAATTTAATGACAATCCATCCAAGAGTTGACATTTATATTTCACCAAAGAGCAAAAAGAAGAAGCCCATGGTCGCAGCAGATGGGAAGTTAGGGCATCACTAAAGTCAGAAGGATTCATCTGCTGGGAACATAAATGTCTGGACAGGATTTCTGGGCGATTTGTCCAAAGGCTGGACAGACAGTGTCGGACAGATCCACATATTGTCGTTACTACAACTATGAAAACGTATTTATCATTTATTTACTTCGTGTGTGCATGGTTGATAAAAATGTTCATCGTGGTTGCATGGAGGCATGAGTTACTTTCATGCATCATTTTAAATAAAAACTGTACATTGTGCATTTTATTTTTAACAGGAAGGTAAATAACTGAGCATGTTCCTATTAGTGCCAACAAATGCAGGCGATTGCGTCCTAAAAAACAGAAAGGAGATACAACGTCCTTCTGGGTAACACTAAAATGAATGTCAGTCGCTTGTGAATTAGATCAGCTTCCCCAAAATCCCACGCTATGACATTAATCCCGTTGTTTGTACATTTCTTTTCTCCATCTCATAATCTGAGAAAATAACAACCCACTGTGGCACGAATCCACACAGGCCCCCGCCACACACACACACAGGCTCCATCCTCCAAGCATAACAGTGGCAGAGAAGTGAAAGCGGCAGAGGGAGAAAGACAGATAGATGGTTGCTGTGTCATTCCCCCCGCACACATTCTCTCCTCGTGACTGCTGCTCGCCACTCACAGGAGATTTGGCTGTGTCTTTGTGTGTGTGTTGGAGACAAGCAGATTGAGTGTACAAGTGAAAAGGGAGTGTGTGTGTGTGTGTGTGTGTCAGTGTGTGTGATTTACGTTTTCCGAACAGCGATGAGGGATGTGCATTTTCTCATATATCAGAATAAATGATTTCAACATAGTGAGATTTAAATAATTCAAGCATCTCAGACAAGGTCTTAAAACCCGTCCCACAATCTGAGCTCGTGTTGAATTTTGTCAGCGTGCTCTTTGTGTAGTTGTCTGCTCATGGGTAAGCGCTAATTAGCCGAGTTAACTTCTCTGTGACCCGTGCACTTGGTGAAGTAAAGCGCTCCTGACAACAATTTCCAAATGACAAAGAGAACAATGAGGCTGTCACAGGAGATGAATCAGGCCTAAAGAATCCAGAAGATGACACATGCAAGAAAATGGGCAAATATAAACGCTCTTAACTTTATGACTCTTGTCATCGTCAGTCTCAGTGTTAAATAACTTATTAAATCAAAACAATGCAAACTATTTGATGAGTGGTTTGACTTTTTTAGTCGAGCAGGATTTATGACATAAACTGCAGCCAGCCACCAGGTCCTGTTCGACACACATGGACATACACAGTCTATTCTGTAAACTGCTGAGGGGTGGGTGAAGAAGCTGGAAGAATCTTTTTGTGTGTCAGTATTTGCTGCAGTTGCACGAGGGCCAACTCATTCCCATTTAAATCCAAAGTGTCATGACCTGAGCTCCAATTTTCATTTCACGCCATCCATAACACCCACTTAAAAGAAATGCCATCTAAAGATCATTAAAACTCGATGGTGGCAAAAGTAATGATGTTACTGTAAAGCAAAGAGCAGATTTTCCTGGTCATTAGTTCCACTTAGCTGCTGTGGAAATAATTGTTTTGCTAACATGATAAGAAAATATGACGGTTAATTCCGGCTGTAATAACCGAGTGCATCCAGTTCGGCAAAAATAAAGAAATGAATGTCAGAGATGTCCTCTGCCACAATTCTTTCTGTGCAGGGTGCGTCAAATATCTGAAGTCTTCCACAGGAGACAGAGAACAGTGGAATATCGAGAAATGGTTTCTAGTGCCTTCCACTTTATGTGTCAGATGATTAATAAATACACATTTGGCTCCCTGCAGTCCTGGAAATGAGAGACGCTTCTTATTCCAGAGTATGCATCCATCTATAAGTGTGTGACACTTTCGTCATTAAGTTAAATATAGGACAGTTAAATTGCCTATTCAGTGCCAGTAAATTTAAATATCAGAGCCCTTTGGTAGCTGATATGAAAGTGAAATGAGACGAGAACAAGAGCTGGAGGAAAAATAAAGACATTTTTAGATTTTGAGCTCAAACTGGACTCAGATTCCCATTTCTTCACGACAGTATGTGATGATGCTCACATACATGTGAACAGTTGGTACAAGGACGGCTAAACCATAGAAGACCGTGGGCGTTGTGGATTATTGAGAGGAAAAAAGCATTCTGAGCGTTCAGCCGCAGACAGTTTTCAGGCCGCAAGCAAGTGGAAGCAGAAATGCAACCCTGCCCAGCTTGTTAAAAGCACACGTCAAGCTGGTCATATACAAGTGCACCTGCAGTTAAACTTTGTGTGGGAAGCACATACAAATAATAATCCATAAAATGACCCCCCCCCCCCCCCCCCCTTGCACTGCCCTTGTTTTTTTCTCTCTGGCCTTTCCGCCTCTCTGCCACACTCCCACTCCAGATAATGAGGAGAAGGGTCCCGTGGTGAAGAGCTACTTAAAAATCTTCTGAGCTCGGAGTCTGTGCAAACAGTAGCTCAGTCACTCACCTCGTCATTGAAGTGCTGCTCCGAGCCACTCGGACCAATGTTTAGAACGACCGTGCAGCATCAAGCACGCAGCTGCGTTCTCTCACAGCACTGTTGTGGCTCGGAGACGTACAGTAGGAGACTGACGAACAGGTTTGGTGGTTCAATTCTCTAAATAAACTGAGGAAATCTGACAGGGTACCCTACAGCAAGGCAGTAATAATTAATTACTTCTATTTTCATAAACCTGAGATTATCCAAGCCTGATTCCAAACCCAGGGACAAGAATGAATCAATGGGTTACATAACAAGACAAAACAGCAGAAACTGCATTTGGCTGATGTGCTTGTCTATTCTGCAGTGGCTCAAAATTCTAACTTCAATATCTGAACATAGGAGCTGTGTGGCGTCATCCTGCCCCAAACAGACACACGGTGAAAAATGATGGGACGTTATTGAAGATGAACTGAGGGAAAAGTCAGGTTATTTCTTAAGGCTTGTTTATAAGCCTTATAAGACATTCCTCTGTGGAGCATCATTTAAAGACGCATTGAGCTGCAGTCATTCTTCGACAAACAATAACACACCATGTGCCGTCACACATAGACGTGTGAGCACACAATACCACATATTGCAGTTAACAGGCAGCTGAATGTCTTATTGCGCTGGTGACAGATAGGCGTTTTAAATAATGGATTCCCACAGAGGCACGAGTGTCACTTGTCGCTGCAGTCAATTACGGTTCTTGGATGAATGATTAAAGGTGGTTTATGGGCTATGGTGATGTCTTCCTCTGCCTATCATTGAGAGCGAGCCCAGCAGAATGCTTCCTGCACACTAGGCATCTGAATAAGCTCAGACAATGGCCTTCAGAGATGGGACGTGAAAAGGAGGAAAAAGCGGATGAAGAAGAAAGAAGCATGAAAGCTATATTCATCAGCGGGTTATTAGAGGAAGCTGTTTGTGAAAGAGAACCTAAAAGTACCAACAAAACCCAATTCATCCCACTGAGCTATACGATATATAATTACACTACTTTCCTTGTGTTCGTTTTAATAATGACGGGTGACTATTTTAGAAACATGATACATTTTTGCATCTGAACTCATCATCATTAGATTCATATTGTGTTTCCTTGTTCTCTATTTGTTGTTAACAAAGACCAACAACAACAATGCATCAGAATTTTCTGACTAGATCGGTGTGCCTCATTGATGTCGACCCCCGCGTTTCATTTGCAAGAAAGGTTCGGTTATTTTCTGAAACAGCTGATCACTGTAGTTGTTGTGTTACTCTAACTGGAGGGAATGCATTTGCTGGGAACTACAGGTGCAGGTTAATCCACATTTAGTGCTCTGGTGATTATTTAGAGCAGCAGACTGTGTCAAAATAAACTAGAATGCAGGTTCATGCATTTCAACCAGCGCAAAAGTCTTTCCACAGACGTTCTGGGAGGTTTAAGTCCGAGCTTTGTCTGGTCCACTGAAGGACAGTCAAAGACTTGTCTTGAGGACACCCCAGTATTGTCTTGGCTGCACGTCATATCCTGCAGAAAGGTGAACTGTCTCACCACATGCACTTTAAAACAGTTTTCTTCAAGGACGTCTTTGTATTTGGCTGCATTTCCTTCCCTCACTTCTGACCAGTCTCTCTGTCCCTGCTGCTGAGAACACCCCCCATAGTATGATGCTGCCCCACGAGCTTCACCATTAGTCCATTGGGTTATCGTGTTGCATCACTGCTGATCAGAACCGTGTCATTCCACCCAATGATTACCAATTGAACCCGTTCACACTGAAGACAAAAGCCAGATGTTAGTGTGGGTTAGAGTTTTTGTGTTCAGTGTGAAATGGGCAATGCACTAAAACAAATCTCTGCACACTGATCCTAATGCTCGTCTGTGTTTGTTCAAGATATTAAATCTGGCTACGAGACGCCAGATTGTGGACTGAGGGGTGTATGGATTCAGCCTGTCCCTGCTGGGGAGCTAACAGCAGCCAACAGCTGTCTGCAGATCTCAGGCTGATGTCCTGTCCACACAAACTGTGCAGATGAATTAGTGATCAGACGTCCACTCGCTGTC